TCCTGTCCCCATCCCCCTGTGTTCCCATGTCCCCATGTCCCTGTGTCCCCGTGTCCCTATCCTCCATGTTCCTGTCCCCATCCCCCTGTGTCCCCATGTCCCTGTGTCCCCATGTCCCTGTGTCCCCGTGTCCCTATCCTCCATGCTCCTGTCTCCATCCCCCTGTGTCCCCATCCCCCTGTGTCCCCATGTCCCCGTGTCCCCATGTCCCCACGGCTCAGCTCTGCGCTCTCCCTTCCAGGGCAAGCTGGGTGTGCCGGGTCTCCCAGGCTATCCAGGGCGCCAGGGCCCCAAGGTGAGCACGGGGGGAGCTTTTGGGGTGTCCCCAGGACCCCAAGTGCTTCATGGGTCCTGGGCTTGTCTCTCCTCGTAGGGCTCTAGTGGCTTCCAGGGCCCCGTGGGGCTGGTGGGAGAGAAAGGCAAGAGGGTGAGTCAGCCCTGTCCCACAGGGTCACCCCATCCCACCCCTCAGGGCCATTCCCTGTCCCCCCCATCCCGCTCTAGCCCTCCCTGGCCAAGCTCTGAGCCAGGGAACGGGCCGAGCCCCCAGCCCTGCTCCCTTCCTGTCCTACGTGCTTGAGGGGGCACGTGGGGAGGGAGTGTGGGCGAGTTGGGGGGCTCTCACCGTGTCCCCCCCTTTCCCTGCAGGGCAAGGCCGGCCCAGCTGGGCAGACGGGACAGCGAGGGCCCCCGGTGAGTAACCACAGGGAACAGGAGTAGCCCCGTGGCCAGTGGCCACCGCAGGGCCGGCTGTATCCTGCCGTGACCATCCCGGGGTCCAGCTGTATCCCACCATGACCATTCCCGGGTGGATTGTATCTCATGACAACCATCCCAGGGCTGGCTGCATCCCATGGCAACAGGCAGCCTGCCGGTATCCTGTGGTGATGAGGCTGGAGCCTGTCGTTTTTTATGGCGACCAGACCCTGGGGACCACCATAACCCACAGCAGCCAGATCCCAAATTTCTGCCTGTATCCCATGGGAAACACCCGTGTCCCACTCCTGCTCCCTGCCCGGTTCCCTCCACTTCCAGCCCCATCTCCCCTCTCCTCACCCCACTCCCAGCCCCATATCTCACCCCACTCCCTGCCCCACATCTTTTCACACCACTTTTTGCTTCCTGCCTGCCCAGGGCCTCCCAGGCGAGCGAGGTCTGCCCGGTCCCACGGGGAAACCCGGCCCAAAGGTAGGTGGGAGCTTGGCCACGGGGTCCCCACTGCCCCTCACGTCCCCGCTGACCCCACATCCCCATCTCCTCGCAGTGCTCAGGGCTCCTTGGCCATGGGTGCTGGCAGTGGGGCTGATGTAGGGCGATGAGGAGGGTGGGGGGGATCTTTGCTGCTGCCCTCAGCCTGTGTTTCCCCAGGGAGATCCTGGCCATGACGGGGCCCCCGGTGCGGTGGGAGAGAAGGTAAATAGGGTGTGGGCGATGCACAGAGGGGGGGTCTCTTCCAGCACAGGCACCCTGGAAAGAGACCGAGCATGGGGACAACAGGATACCAGGTGTGGGGAGAGGGTCTGGGGGCTGTGTGGCTGTGGGGGAAGCCCCTCTGCTGCTGACTGGGTTTTTTTTTACCCCCCCCCACAGGGTCCCCAAGGTCCGCAGGGACCCCACGGCTTCCCGGGCACAAAAGGTCCCCCCGTAAGTGATGTCTGTGCACAGTCCTGGATGACGTGGGGGACAGTTGGGCTGGCACCTCCTCCTCCTCCCTCTGTGCCCCATGGGGTGCAGGCAGCAGAGGGGGGAGCCCAGCCTGTGTCCCCCACCCCATTACCTCTGCTCCTGCCCAGGGTCCCGCTGGGAAGGATGGTTTGCCAGGACACCCAGGCCAGCGTGGCGAGCCGGTGGGTGCCCTGCCTCCCCGGGGTGGGTGGGGGGGATGCCTGCCAATACCCAGCATTAATCCCCCCCTTTCTCCTCTGCAGGGGTTTCATGGCAAAACGGGCCCCCCTGGCCCCACGGGGGTAGTGGGACCCCAGGTGAGTGCTGGGGACAGAGGCAGGAGTGTTGAAATCTGCCCGGGGAGGGGGTGGAGGGACCCCCAGAAACTCACCCTGCTCTTTCCCCGCAGGGTAAATCAGGCGAAACGGGGCCCGTGGGAGAGAGGGGACACCCAGGCCCCCCTGGCCCCCCCGGGGAACAGGGCCTGCCTGGAGCTGCTGGCCAAGAAGGAGCCAAGGTAGGAGCCACACCGGGGGGGTCCAACTGCTCACTCAGACTCCCACAAGCCTGAGGCAAGGGGGGACTGGGTCCCCACTGAGCTCTGCGGGGCACGAAGCCTCTCCCAGGCTGGGTGGGGACGGAGCAAAGGGCTCTGCTTCTCCTCTCCCCCTCGCAGGGTGACCCTGGCCCCGCGGGGGGCCCCGGGAAGAACGGCCCCCCAGGCATCCATGGCTTTCCCGGCACCCGGGGGGCACCCGGAGAGACGGTCAGTGCTGGCCCAGGCTGGGCTGCAGCCCGGTACAGTCCTTGGGAAAGGAGGGGAGGGTCCTTCCTCACCATTTCCCTGCTCCCTACAGGGTCCGCCTGGCTTGAAGGGGGGGGAAGGTCCTCCTGGTCCCCCTGGACCCACGGTGAGTTCAAAGCATCATGACATTTGAGGGGCTATCTGGACTTTTGGGGTTTCCCCTGGGATATATGGGTACACACTCCTTGCCACCCTGCTTAAAACCCTACTTGATGAAGAGGAAGGTTTCTCTGATGAGGAGGAAGACTGCTGTGGCCTTCCTCCTTCCACCCCACCTCTGTCTTCTCTTCAGGGTTCCCCCGGTGAGCGAGGCCCCACAGGGGCTGCTGGAGGCATCGGGCTGCCAGGCCGGGGGGGTGCACAGGGCCCCCCTGGTCCCATTGGCGAGAAGGGCTCCCCGGTAGGTGCCAAGGGGGGTGTGTGGGGCGAGGCAGCGGGTGTGGGTTGTGAGGGGCACACGCTGTGTCTCCCGGGGGTCCCAGCCCTTCCCCTTCCTGCCCGCAGGGTGAGCGAGGTCCCATGGGTCCGGCCGGGCAAGACGGCATCCAGGGCCCCGTGGGGCTGCCGGGTCCGGGCGGCCCCCCCGGCCCTGCCGGAGAAGATGGGGACAAGGTAAATCAGGGGGACACGCGAGGGCTCCAGGATGGGCGCTGGGGCCAAGTCCCCTGGCAGAGGGCACGTCCCGGCGCCCAGGGACCTCCGGGATGGGGCCGGTTTTCCCTCCGGCTTCCCGGGAGCAGGGATTCCCCGGGCGGCCACGGGCTGTTGGTCCTGGCAGGTTTCATTGGCACTGCTTCCCAGGTGGTGGCAGGTTTCCCCAGTGCCGGGATTTCCTTGGCCGTGGCTCCCCAGCCGTGGCAGCTTTCCCTGGCCTCCGGCATTCCCTGCTTGTTGACATTCCCTGCTTGTTGACATTCCCTGCCTGTCAGCATTCCCTCTTTGCTGGCATTCCCTCTTCACCATCATTCCCTCTTCCCTGACATTCCCTCTTCACCGACCTTACCTTCTCCCCAACATTCCCTCCTCGCCGTTATTCCCTCTTCCCCATCATTCCCTCCTCCCCGACATTCCCTGCTCCCTGACATTCCCTCCTCACCAACCTTCCCTCCTTCTCTGACATTCCCTCCTCCCCAATATTCTCACCATCATTCCCTCTTCCCTGACATTTTCCTTCTTCCTGACATTCCCTCCTTGCCATTATTCCCTCCTCACCAACATTCCTTCCTCCCCGACATTCCCTGCTCCCTGACATTCCCTCCTCACCAACATTCCCTCCTTCTCCGACATTCCCTCCTCCCTGACATTCCCTCCTCACCGACATTCCCTGTTCCCCATCATTCCCTCTTCCCTGATATTTCCCTTCTCCTCGACATTCCTTCCTTGCCATTGTTCCCTTCTCCCTGACATTCCCTTCTCACCATTATTCCCTCCCCCTGACATTCCCTCCTCCCCAATATTCCCTCCTCACCATCATTCCCTCTTTCCTGACATTTTCCTTCTTCCTTACATTCCCTCCTTGCCACTATTCCCTTCCCCATCATTCCCTCCTCACCAACATTCCCTCCTCTGACATTCTCTCCTCACTGTCATTCCCTCCTCACCGACATTCCCTCTTCCCCATCATTCGCTCTTCCCTGACATTTCCCTTCTCCTCAACATTCCCTCCTTGTCATTGTTCCCTTCTCCCTGACAATCCCTTCTCACCATCATTCCCTCTTCCCTGACATTCCCTCTTCCCTGACATTCCCTCCTCCCCAATATTCCCTCCTCACCATCATTCCCCCTTTCCTGACATTTTCCTTCTTCCTGACATTCCCTCCTTACCATTATTGCCTTCCCCATCATTCCCTCCTCACCAACATTCCCTCCTTCCCCGACATTCCCTATTCCCTGACATTCCCTCCTTGCCACTGTTCCCTTCTCTCTGACATTCCCTCTTCCCTGACATT